GCGCGCGCAAGCGTGACACTTACCCGGCTTGCCAGGTCGCGAACGATCCACCAACGCTGAAAAATCACTGGCGCGAGAGTGAGATGGCACAATAAGAAGGCGGATAAGCAGGCAGTGCGATCATGTTTCGCTGTTACAATCGATCTCGCTGATGATAGATGATGACGCAGGCATCCTCCACCGCTTCGATAGATGCGGCGTCACCAAGCAATCACGCCAGTCCAGGAAAGCGAAACTGATCCACGAACGTATGTAGACACGAACGATTTGCATACGCACGTGCTCCACCAGCGTTGATCACAGCAGCCACGAACAGAGTACAATCAAGTCCGAACGGCGCTGGCGGGACTCATAGTGGTCGTCGTCGTCGTCGTCGTCGTCGTCGCCGCCACCGCCGCCGCTGCGAAGTGTGAGATCGCTTCGTCACGATTTCTACCGTAGATACCGCCGCCGGTGTACCTTTGTCCGCGTGCCAGCTGATAGCGGCCAGCTATTTGGTTAATAAGCCAGTGCGGCCCTGACGGTGACTCGGTAATAAATAAATGTACAAATTGATGGTAATCGGAAGAAAGCCAAATGATATAAAGTGTCTAAAAAAAACTGTCAAGGGGCATAAATATAACAAACGTCATTTATTTTGAATTTTAATTTGATTCGGAGAATCAATTCTTGTTAATTAATTTTGCTAATGCACAGCTAATGAATAACTAAGTTTCAATTAGTTCCGCAAAATCGATTACTGCACAATAATCATACATATGAATGCATAATAACACTCGTTCTGAGAATATGTTAATTCTTTTGAAACCTTTTTCTTAATTAAAACGTTAATTCTCTTTGTATTAGAATTAAATTTTTTAATCTTTTTTTTAATATTTTAATTAAATTTCACTGGAAAAATCGGAGGACGAAGAAACGCGATGGAAATTTTGCAAAGTCTCCAAAATCCTACAAAATTATCTTAAAAAATTTATAGATTAAGCTAGATCAATGCTGTATATTCGCAATGCGCAGATACAAAATGTTTCGAACTTTCTTTGAGCGAATGTGCACGCAGGTACAACAACGATAAAAGCATTCGTTGGTTCGCACACAGTTCCGTCCCCACGTAACCGACCGTGAAACAGCAATCGTGACCGTAGATGACTCGAATGACTTGCAAATTCCACGACTCGCTCGCCTCGCCGCGCGTAATCGAACAAGCGGTATTCCGATTCGAGGACATGGATCCTGTCGAGTCAGCTGTTCTGTATTCATAAAATAGATTAATAACTTGAGAATTGTACAAGATCATTCAGACCTGAGATACTATCATTTACAACAATTTGTTAAAATCTGCAAAAATTTAAAAGATCAGAATTAAGTTTGGGTGGATTGATATTAATTTAGTCTTTTTTTTCTTCTACTCTAAGAGAAAAAAACCAATATCCATAAATAAATAAGATTGTCATGATAATCAAGATAGATAATCAAGATTTACAATCAGTATAAACAGACAGATGATGATAATGCATAAAACATAAGCTGAAACATAGACAGCTTTTCACACAGCTTCATTCACGAGAAAAGGAATGACTTGGAAAATTGAAAAAATACCTTATCACCTTTTGAATTTAATTTAACGATTTCCAACATTTTTAGTAATTATTTATATATTAATAGTGATTATTTATATGTATATAAATAAAAAGACACGTTCTATTTTTTAAGAAAAAAAAAAAGAAAATGATGGTAATATTTTATACGTAATTTCGTCAATATTTCATATTATTTTCAATTATTTTGTTTTAGATGGAATGTTATCTTTTTGTTCTGATAACACTATGATCCCCGGATGAGTTTCACGAAGTATAATTTCACGAAATCCTTGAAGATCATTCAAACAAGATTAAATCGTTAATCCCAGAGTGATACCCGAAAAACATGAAAATGACCTCATTTAGTTGAAACTTAATATAAAAATTAGTATCGTAATGTATTATCGCAATTATCAATTTTGACACCGACAAGATAAAAATTGCTAAATTACGAAAAAATTACGAAATTCGAAAAGTTTACAATGTACTAATATCCTCTGAGAGAATGTGATTAGATTAAGAAGCAGTAAGACAAGCGCTTATTTCTTACGAAGAGCAAAAACGAAAGAAATCGTTAATCATTTTCTTTTTCTGTACAAAGTAAAGATTACAGATTTTTAATTAAACATATATTTACTGGAGATTTAAAACTGTTTAGCGGAGATTCAATCCTACTTAATCCTTCGAAAATTCAAACTCTACGTAGTGAAGATTTCGAACCTGATTAAATCAAAGTCAAAAGTCAATTTAGCTCTCTTTATAATCTAATATAATTTATTCACGTTGCACCTGTAATTATAAGCGGTTATTTATAAAATTGAAATTGAATATTATATAGTAATTATATAGTAATAGTTAT